CACCAATAAAGTTTCTGCTTTTGGAATAGGCAGGTTGTCATTTGCTCACTCACTCATTCACTTTCATTCATTCGTGTTGAAGCCTGTGACCCTGGCTGCAGAAGCCCCTGCTGTAACCCCCAGCACACATGCCAGGATGGACGATGGCACGTGGTGTGGGAGCCTAGCACGAGAAGGTTCCTTCTGCAGGAGGGGGAGTCTGGGAAGGCTTCCTGGAAGGGGCATCTGAGACAGCCTAGAAAGATTAGCAGCTTGATAACACCTGCTGTTCCTCCTGCAAGCCAAGGGTCTGACAGGACACATTTGAGGAACATAAGACAGAGGACACAAAGCGGGAGTTCAGGTGGATAAGGGATGGAGAGGACTCAGGCACACAGCACGGTGCCAGGCTTGTAGGACCTTATGGCAAACATCACCCTGGCCATCTTGGAGGTGAGCTGAGCAGGGCCTGACGAGGCGAGCTCCCGGGTCAGGGCCAGGACCAAGACAGAGACAGGGGGAATGTTGGAAACACAGAAGCCACCAGAGGGAGGCAGGAAGAGTGGGAATGTGCCCCCAACAGGCCCTCGGATGGGGAAGGGGGGAATGGCTGCGTCAACCTTCCATCCCACCAAACTGACTTTAAAAAACACAGGTCAATTGACATACACCACAAACACCAGAAACTTTGGGAATGTTTTGCGGTTTTTCTCGTTTTTTTTTTGTTTTTTTTTTTTTCATTTCAAAATGTCTCAACAATTTTTTCCTGGCATGAACTAATATTAATTTGAATTTTGTTACTTGTGAAGTTTTGATGATTTTTATAATTTTAATTTTAATTTATTAGCACTATAAAATGGAAGTTTATGACTATTCTGTTTGTACCTATTTAAGTAATGGTATCATAAGAGCAATTTTGATTTTTAAAAACCACTGTGGATTTAATACAAAGGCAACTCTCAGCCCCTTCAGGAAATGGATGCTGTGGGCTACCAGTTTGCAAACCACTGATAGAAATGTCGGACATCCGAGGGGTCCCAAATTGGAGAGGGTGCAAGCTGGGCTGAGGGACACCCCTCAACCCGGTGCATGAATTTCATTCACGGGGGGGCTAGTAATAACATAAAATGCTATAGAAAGATATAAAGAGAGGGCATGGTTAAGTAAATTATGATCTAGGAAGTAAATGAAAGGTGATGTGAGCTTTAATATCACAACCACTCACTACAGTGAAACATGAAAAACTATTCCAAATATATAAAATGGCCCTAGCTGGTTTGGCTCAGTGGATGGAGCATCAGCCTGCAGATTAAAGGGTCACAGGTTCAGTTCTGGTCAAGGGCACAAGCCTGGGTTGCCAGCTCCATCCCCAGTAGGGGGCGTGCAGGTGGCAGCCAACCAATGATTCTCATCATTTATGTCTCTATCTCTCTCTCCCTCTCTGAAATCAATAAAAATATCATTAAAAAAAATAAAATGGACAAGGATCCAAAGTTGTAAGCATACCATAATAATACTTTGTGCAAATATTATTTGTATGGATAAAGATTTGACCCCGTCATGTAGAAATGCAGAAGGGTGGTAGAGTTAGTGATTCCACAGGATTTCCTGAGCACCCACTGTGTGCTGGGCACTGCC